CAAATTCATAATTACATTTTTTCTATAAATTATACAAAGCAACATTCTTGCGCATCGTTTCGCTAAATGATCAATTCCGAACAACCGGAAAGACGCGCTCACTTTCCTCTCAGCTGTGGCACGCGCGTCAATATCTTCGCTCTGTCAGTGGCACCTGTTAAATGGACATTTATTACACTGCCAAAATCTGTGAATTTGACAAATGCCGACCACGAACTACAAGCGCACATAAATCCATTCACAAATATTTACCAAGTGATTAAAATACTTGAAACTAATACCACAGCCACCCACATGCACATCCATTTGGAAATGTAATTTTGCATTTAGCTTAATATATGGATCAACTTGTTTGTTTGTAGATGTTTACAATATTTATGGGCTGATTGGTGAATACGTTGGTGGCTAGTGGCAAGCAAGGTGCCTCCTTATAAACAATGAAATATGTGAATACATATGTACAAACATAGATTCATAAATAAACTGCAATTACAACATTGGGACCCATTAAAATGCCATATGATTCAAATCAATTAAAATACCGCGATGAAAAACCAAACCAAAACAAAACAAATAAATCGCCTTTACGAAAATGTTGCGCGAACAAACGGTGAATCGGTGAGCATATGGCGATTTATAAACATTTCATATTTTGAATGAGAAATGGCTTTTAATGCTTTTTTGTTTAAGTTTTTTTTAATATTTTTGACCAAAATGTGAAGCCCAAAATTTGGAAAACTGTGAAAAGCAAAAAATATGAGAATTTTAAAAACAAAGAAACCACAATTTTAAACTTTTGACGCCAAACTCACGCAAAGCACTTCGATTACAAATTGAATAATGACTTCTGATGCATTGAAAGTATTTTTTGGAAAAAATATGAAATATTGGGCATATCAATAATTCGTAGAACGCACTTTTATGGGTTGGACGTCAAATAAATCCTCGAAAATCGGCCAAGAGATGGTCACGCTGGGCATGAAATAAGCCAGACAGGGCACAGAAAGGCAAATCATTCATATTTTTGTTATATACATAAGTACACATGCATATATTTAAGCTTGTAAATATGTATGTAAGCAGTTTTATGTCTCCTGCCTCTCACGGCGCATTATTGGTGGTACTCCCTTTCACTATCTCTCATATGCATTTGTCCTTAGCATAATAAAATACTGTATGATTGCTACAAAAACATACATAAATCTGTTTGCGTATGAATTTATGAGTTTCGGGTTAAAATCATGTCTACGAAGCTATGCGGAACTATTGTGGTTAATTCTTGAACAATAAATGGTTTTTGCCCTAGCTTGTCCCCCTATAAATTTATAAATACTCGTACAAACCAGTCACAAGAAAAAAGAAAATGTATCTTCACACCGAATTTGCATGCAACATGTGGCACGTAGTATTATATTACCTCTCTCTTTCGGTATATTTTTGGCCAACAAATCGCAAATGTATAACAGTCATATTGGAGACAAACATTTACTTATGTATGTATATAAAATAGAGCAATTCGACGAAGGAATACAATACCTCTGTGAAGGGACTTGACTAAACTCAAGATTTGAGATATGTATATTGTGCCTCTTTAATCTTCGCATAAAAGGGTATATAAAGATTTGTACATATATTGATTTTGATCAGCCAGTTTATACAGCAGCTGTATACTATAGTGGTCCGATATAGGCGATTTCGACAAATCAGCAGCTCTTTGGGGTGAAAAGGACGTGTGCAAAATTTCAGATCGATTTCTTAAAAACAGGTTCACGTATATACAGACGGGCGGGCGGATGGAGATCACGTTGATCTTCGTGGCAAAGTTAATGTAGGCAGAGTAAAATGAATTAAAAGATAAGTATTAGAAGGAATAAAGAAAGATAGTCACGAATCTTAAGGAACTTGGGTGTCAACTTTCAACGACTCTCTCATATTCAACATCTTTGTTATAACCTGAAATTTTATTAGGTCGATGTACGACACATGGGGCTTCTGTTGAAATCCCGAGTTTCTAGAAAAAAAAGGAATCAGGTTCAAACGAGCAAAACTATACTTTTCTATTAAGTGATGAAAATTGACTGAGCTTAGAGGTTTCTTCTGTAGTCTCGACGTTGGTTTTATGCTCATGTACTCTAGATCTATTGTATATAGCTGCTTGAAATATTGAATGATCCTTTTTCAATTGTCGAACGTTCGTACTAAATAGGAGTTCTGCTCAAAAATTTAGTCGTAAGGGCTGTATGTCTATCAATGTGTTAAAATAATTAAGTCAAATGGAGTTAACGGAAAAAATGTGTATCATACTGATAGATTATTTTATACGTACGACGTAGGGGATCATTTCGCCCAACACCCTAGAATTTCAAGCTACCAATTACGATAAAATATAGATAAAAAATGTCTGCCAATCATCACTAGTAACGAAAATTTCTACATTAGCTGAATTCAACTATGTTGCTTTAAAATTGTTCCACGTTTTCAAAGTGAGATCAAAAAGAAGTCCTGAGCATAAAACCAATACAATGTGTTTAAAGAAATTGCAAAACCTCCATATTAAATTAAATAAATAAAAAAATAGTAAAACTGCGTGCTAATAAAAATCATTCGAAACCACATGTGTTCAATATATATTTCTTTGTTATTCACGACAGCCAAAGCGTAAATTACAAAAGGCATTAAACACTTAAAATAACTGAAAATTTGTTTAAAAAAATCAGCGAAAATGATTTTTCAAATTTTCGCTATTATCACAGCCCACCACCACTGGCCCTCTTTTACGATGTTTATTATTATAGATTTATTTTTAGAAAATCATAATTTTGTACAATTTCACATCTGCTTTGTCGTTTGTACACTATTCTGATGTTCATATGATTTTTATCTTGTTTTATGTTTTTTTCCATTTCATTCGTTTCTGACTGCATTTGATCACCGGTCAGCCCCAAAGGGTGCCACAGATTTGAACGAAACGCATTACGTCTTGAGGTAAAATCTATATTTGCGTGAAAGATGTACGTGCATAGAGCAGGTTGACGTGGTGTGAAGGGCTAGAAAACTGAAATTTAAATTAGCACAAAGAAAATGCTGCCCGTCGTTGTCACAATATATATTTATACAGATATACAGGCACATAAATGGGCGCTAGCAGTCATGGTGTTGGTTCCCCTTTGGAAAAATGGGGTCAATTTGTTAGTGCATTTTGAAAATTTCATCTGTCAACAAAGACACTTCCACATGTCAGATAAGTCATGTAGAGTGTTTGGAAAATAGCGCAATTTCATTTGTAATTCGCAATTAGCAAAATATTGATTTTAATATGACAATTTGAATTATTTACTTAAGAAAATATTCGATAATTAGGTTTTTGAGGTCTTCTTGGATGCGTCTGTTGGTCATTATATAAGAATTTCAGTTACTTAGAATATTATAAATTGTAACTATAAACTTTTTTTCCAAACACTCTTTCCTAATCCATGAAAATATTTTTATATAGGTTATGCCAAACAAAAAAAATATTTATTGATTAACTGTTAGAGAGCATGAATTGAACACAAATACTAAGTATATATCCAGAAAAGTTTTTAGCAAATCATATTCTACGTACTTCCGCTCAGTCGCACTCATTTTTGCACTCAACGGAAATTCCCATTGAATATGTATCTTTCTATAAAAGTTAGTCACCCTAGTGAGGTGCCTGCAAATCTTATCAGCAGCCGGTATTTATCTTGTTGTACTACAAGTACCTACATTCTAAGTTTTTGTTCATTAATAAATTATTTGCAAGCGTTTTTATGCAATGAATCAATTTCATATGCACCTGCTGCCACAAAGCCATCTTAACATGGTTGCCATTTATCTATGTATATAAAAATAAAACTTGAAAACAAACAATAAATTGTGTGGCTGTTGGACGCATAAGATGATAAAAAATATATATATATACAAAAGTATTTATATACAGCACTATGTATTCATACTTATATACACATATTGATATATAATAACAGCGATAAAAATGTCTTTATCAAGCTGGAGTGACATAATATGCAATTTGAAAACGAGTGGGTTTCGCTTCGAAAATTTTTTTTTTTTTGTATTTTATATACATCACATAATTTTATAAAAAAGTACTTTTAATCGCGGTTTTCAAAGAATTTTCACATTTTGAAATTCAAACGTTCATTGAAACGGGAGCAACAAGTAGACAAGTAGAGCCACAGCAAACTGCGACTTGAGCGTTATTTGCATTGTGCGCACATTTCTAAAAGCGGTTCCGATAACAAACTTCCACTTTCTATTGCGCATAAAGTTTTATCAATTAATATATATATTTTATTTCAATTTCAATGTCAAGTGTTTGAGGTTGGTTTAAATGAAGTGGTGTCAAACCTTTGCAAAGGCTGAATATACAAGAGGTTGATGAAACAAACAGTGTGTTTGGGCGTAAAAAAGTATCCAAATCATAACTTTCAATAAAAAGTCAAAGGAAGTACTAGTCTTCAGATTTTGAGGTATCGTTCTGAAATTTTGCAGATGTCTTTTTCTCTAGACTACTATACGATATAGCCGCCATACAAATTGACCGATCAAAATCAAGTCTTGGTATGGGAAACTTTTTCACTTGGAATGTATGTTCACGAAATTAACCATAGATTGCTTCAAAGATTTTTAAAAAGTTCGAAGCAAGCGGTCTAAAATACGTTTCAACCGTCTCTAAAACCTTAGCAAATTATTGTATATGCTGTTACTCGTTTGTGGTGTATTCTCTAGAATATTCGATTAAAAGAACAATTCTATATGACTTCTGATTCAAGGTGACTTTATTCCACTATAAACCAAAGACATATATATAGAATTCCTTATGCAAAGATCTTCAATGATCTCTTGTTTAGTGTTATTTAAGTGTTCGGCTGTAGTAGATGTATATGAACGTACCAAAGCTCTTACCAACAACAGTGGAGCATTCTATATAAGATCTATTCAAAGAAAAGAGTTTCCCAGTGGGTTTATCATCTTGCGGTTAATATGACTCATTTATAAAATTATAATATACAGTAATAAAAATTATTTGAAAATCCAATACACTATTCACTTTATGATTTGCTTTAAGTACAACAGCACAAATATACGTTATATTCTACGTAATTTTTTTTTATTAAAACGAATGCCAATATTTAAAAGGCCGGTTGTATCATGCTAGGGCAGTACATTCTCGATAAGTTGTAAGGCAGGAAAACTCTGCTAACCTATAAAAAATTGCGTTGTTATTTTTCTTCTTTCCATAAAAGGAGAGCAGAGGAGTATCAAAACCCGCTTACTATATTTGCGACTTAAGAAGAGGAATTCTTTTAACAGAACTATTTTTGTTTAGGTTCAGAAAAAGTCGATATATTATATATTAAAAAATGTTTCCTGCGCAAAATCAACAACTGCAATACCAATGACAAAAATGATTTCATCTCTACTTTGAGTTTTAACCATTTCTTGATGTTTTGAGGCTCAAGAGTGAAGTTCTAGATCATCAACGAAGAGTTTTGCGGCTTGTTAAGAGATCTTTTCACAAAATTTGTAACATCTAGAAGAAAACGCCGAAGAACCTATAAAGTATGTATGTATGTATATAAATGATCAACGCGACGAGCTGGGCTTCAAAAAAATTCCAAACTCACCTTTTCCTTTGAACACACCTTGTTTATGTAGTTGTTATAAAAAATACATCTGTGAATTATAGCTTCGATGCAGCCGAAGTAAATGTTTATTATATATTCCTATGGAAAATTTTCAAGTGCTATAGAAAAGACAACTCTAAGCAAATTTATTTATTTGATTAAATTTTTTTCAACGTCTGAAAATCTGGCTGATTCCGACAAATGATCAATAGAATATCAAAATATATCTATGTATTAAATTGCATTCGGATATATCAAAAAATGACGGAGAAAAATTTATATCCCCGAAAAATTTAACTTCGCCTTAAAAATCGCTAGCTCGAGACCGGTTTTAGACCCATTTTCTCTTAGGCAAAATTGTTCTGAATGATCCGTAGAACATTTACCGCATACGGCATTTTAAAGGGAAAAAATCGACCCGCTCTAATATACATAAATGTATTTTGCAAAAAGTGTCTAACCTTTTGTAATGTCATTACAGAAACAAGTGAAAAATATCTAAGAGCCCCATTTGTCAGACGAAATACTAAGTAAGAACCATAACTGAAACAAAATTGCATGCAACAAATTACTACATACAAACACATAAAACCGTTAATATGTTTGTCTAATAATTCCTTTCACACTAAAACCGCCCACTGACATTATCGCCTTTTATTTGGAAATTTAAATTGTTGCATGCGAAGTGAAGTTAGTTTTATTGTTGTTTTATTGCTTTAGACTTTACACGAGAATTCTACATATATATGTACATATGTATATCCGCTAACATATATATACATATATATATTTATATATCAGAGAATTATTTGCTCACTGCATTTATCGTTAATTTCCACGGGATTTTTATTTTTGTTCTGCGGCTTCTGTGAGCATCATCATTTAACGAGAAACAAAGCGAAAATTACTGCGCGGATAGACATTCGAGCTGACAACGTTGGTCAGCATAATTTGTTGACATGCATTTTCAACAATGCAGTATCTAGTCAAACGCTTGCAAAATATGAAATTAAAATCCAAAAAGCTCGAAACAAATGAGCTACAAATAAATGAAGTGAGTGAATTTTTCTGCCAACTCATCGAAAACGGTATTTATTGCAATTCGCTTTCCCACCTAAATGTCAGCCAACTATTCCTTAATTTACGGTTACAATTATTGGTGTGCTTTTTGCGCGGTGCGCTCAAATTCCTTGCGCTCATACGGTTGGTAGTGCTGCCAGCATTTCATAGTCATATGAGTAGTCAGCGGACAATTTACAACTCCATACGGAGGTTCCTGAACTAAATTCATTGCAGTGCTGCTGTACATACATATGTATGTACATACATACATACGTACTGTTTTTAATTAAAACGAATCATTTTGTTAAAAAGTAAACAGTGCTACTTGTTTAAGAAATGTGTCAGTGATAAAAGCTGTCTCTACAAGTGCGTTAATTGATAAGATATGAGAGTCAAAAAAAAAATAAGAATAAAGAAAAAAGGAGGAAGGAAAGTAAAGTACAACTATTTACAGATATACATACTTATTTGCAATGTACCATAATATAGCAGTTTTTCTTTGTTAATTTTAGGAGTTAAATTTTTGTGATTTTTTTTTCAGTTTGTACAAAATCAACTCCGATATGTGAAATAGTACTCGTAATAATTATTTATGTATTTTTTGCAAATATTAAAACGAAATCGCAAATCAAAATACACTTAATTCTGAATATGTTTACAAAGAAGTGAGTGAGTGGAGTTTTCCAATACAAAGCTAAAACTGTTAATACTACTTGAAGATTGTTCTACATTAGTAAACAAATTTGTTATAATACTTTTAATTTAATACGTAGTGAACATACATATATGTAAATATAAATATATATGTATTTACACATTCACATATAATAGAGTGGGTCAAGAACGAAAATTTTTTTTCGCTTGATACTCTGAAAAATAGGTTCTTAGAGCCTCTAAGAAAGTCTCCGCAAGTATAAGCTCTTAAGTGTAGCGGGAAGGTTCTCCGCCTTACAGTTTTTTGTTTTTTCTTATTATCAAAAAAATTAAAATTTCGCCTCCATCTATTGAAAAAATATTTCGTTTCAAAGATTTTGTAGGAAGTTGAATGCTCTACAAAAATGTCTCATACGATGTTTTTTGTAAACCTAGCCGTTTATAAAATAATATAAGATATTAACTACACTACAAAATGGTCTACTATAATTTCAAAAAATAAAAAATAAAAAAATAAAAAATATAATATATACATATATATATGTACATACTTGTATATATGATATGCATTGATGTTTGATGATTAATATCTCGTAAACGCTTAACTTGAAGGAAAAATTATATGAGACAATTTTTGTAGAGAGAGAGAGAGTCTTTCCTACAAAATTATGTGTTTTGCAATGTAAAATGATTTTTTTATTGAGTCATAAAGCTCATAAGAAAAAAAATTTGCTTTAAAATAGTCAAACCTTAACTGTTAATATATTTAAACGGTCGGCTTAACGAAAAACTCGCATGAGAGTTTTTTAATAGACTAGAGCATTCGATTTCCTACAATATCTATTAAATGAAATATTTTTTCAAGTAGTTGGAAGCGAGATTTGAATTTTAATAGCTTATACTCGGAGAGCTTTTCTTAGAGGTGTCCCAATGTACCTTCGATATATGTATTATATGTAAAAAAAAAACTTTACGTTGTTAACTCTGTCTCCTCTGCCATATTCATAAATAAGTAGAGGCCAGATAACTAATGATGAACAATGTCTTGTGTTATCTAACAAAATAACTGCAAATTTAAATCTTGCCTCCCAAATTGTTACGAACGGCTTTAACTTCGAAATTCCATCCACCAATACCGAGGGATAGTCTTCAACCCCTGAAACCCAGTTTGAAATAATAATTGCCAAATGCTTCGTTTTTTACAATAAAAATCGTGGAGTTCAACTTTCAGTTAAAAATTTGTTGACTAGGATAAATTAATTTAAACCATAGTTTCAAATTGTGTTGATCCATGCGTCTTATTTGACATAACCTAATTTCCATATTAACGTAGTATATGTATTAAATTGTATTTTTCGCTGGCCATCCTCTTATTAGACGCTCGATGAGCTTATCTAATTCATTTAGTGCATTTTGAGATCAGGGTTAGCTTACAATTGTTGTTATTATTATTTTTTTTTTTGTTCTTCTTCAGTCAATGGACTGTCGCCGTCAATTCACTTTCAGTAGAATGCTTATTTTACAACTTATATACAAACATACAAAACGTATTGTTTATGTTAATAGCTTAAGTTAAGTGATCTTACATAAACAAAAACACAAAATCACAACAAGAGCAACAAAACTATGCACGTATGTACGAGTATGTATAGTTATTGTTGATGTTTCACGCTCTTACACCTGCTTGGCGAGCCCACTCCCCGCAAGCAAAACAACGGCGGTGCTTCAGCGAGTGAATATTGTCGCAATTATCTGCTTATTTGAGTATTAACATACATACAAACAAACATACGCCTTTTCATTTGTTTATAGAAACATGTGGCAGTTGACAGTTTGTCACCGCTGTACCACTTGACGAACTGTCACGTTGACATTTGTAATGATTTCGTTAATTTGATTTCAATATGCCTTTTGCTTTCACATAAAATCACTTTTATTTTGTTTCATTTTATTTGTTTTTATATTTATTTATGCGCGATTAAGCTGACATAATACGAGGAAGAGCAATAGATCAGCATTGTTTATGCGCATTTCATGGCTGATTTGCTTGTTTGTTTGTTTATGTGAGTGTTATTTGACTTTTACACACGCACAGCCATACACACATGTGTATATGATGCCAATGTTTGGTGGGTGGCGTGCGCTCGTACTTGGTCGATCAACGTCGCCGCTAATGGCCGCGGTGATTTTGTGAAGTAAACTTTCCGGGGCGCATTTGATACGCTTCATTGCAATTGTTTGCGCACGTCCGTGCCCACCTGTGCGCGGCGACCTCAGCTGTCTATCGCATACCCTCCTGCATGGGGTGGGTATGTCGACGGAATCCGGCGTTTGAATGTCACACCTTCGCATGGCCGGCTTCTGCCGCTCGGTTGTTTATAAACATGCATTTTTATTTAATTTTTACTTTTTCGATAGAGATACATATAAATACACATACATATATGTATGTATGTATGTTTGTAAAATGTGACGAAATGCATCGGCAAAATGCATCGGCAATGATCTTGTTTAGGAATTCAAATTATTTGTTTATAGAAATTTCAATTATTTTTATTATATGCCAGTGTATTTCATTATATTATGCTCTTGGTTGTTTAATCAATTTGAGACCCAAAATACAATAATATTGTTGTGTTGTTGCTTTTATTTAATTTAACATATATATTGTGCAACATTATTGCATATATATTGTATATCGCATAAATTAATATTTGTTTTGTAAGGCCGTTTGAAGCAGTTCCTTCAGTACAGGTTTAAAATTTTACCTGCCACACCAACGGTCAGATCTTTGACGGGACGGAGGCAGCCACAATGTTAGTCCTCCAGCTATATTTGTGGAATGTCATGCCCAAGAGTGATGGAATGTCTCGACCACCACTGCAAGTGGAACATAAACAAATTCGAAAACTTAATCTTAATAAAGTCGGAAAGTTAAGGTCATTGTTCTGAATGAAATCTAATAGGCCGTGAAGATTATTTAGCAGCTACATTTACTGAGATGGCGATCCGCTTTACAGTTCAAAACATCTGAGACGAGTGGCATTCCGAGCATGATCACAGATTATTGTATAAAAACGTATCTAGGCCTTTGTATCATTCCGAGTCTATATCGTTTTAAATTATGGAGAAAGAAAATAATTCGATGTCGATTAAGTCGTGTCTTCGAAATGAGATCGACACACATTTCGTATGTCTTGGTCAGAACTTCATTATTTATGCTGTCGATATGGAAATCGCCTGTAGAAAAGTTGTAAGCTATAATTAGAGCAGCAGTTGTCTCTTGTATCTTCAGCGTTCAAGTTTCAAGCATTTTTTTTAGGTGACTGTAAACTTCGTTCATCTGGGTTCTTCAATTTTATGTGTGATGAGGCAGCGAGTTTGCTTTAAATGTTGTGTTTCTAATGGAGTTACAACCACGGAATCATTGAAAATATTGCAGACATGTTTTGGAAAGTTTACTTTATCACGAACACAAGTATTTGACCGGCATAAGGCATTCAGTAAAGATCGTGAAGTCGACGAAAACTTGGCTCATGCGAGTCGTCCATTCAGCTCTGTTAATTACGATAACATCGATAAAGTAAAAGAAACTATACTTCAAAATCGTGGTGTTGACATCAGAGAGAAAGCAGAGGATCTCAACATCTTTTATGAATTGACTCAACACTTTTCGGTTAATGTTATGGGTATGAGGCATGCCAATGCTATACTCGTACCAAAATATCTGGAACTTTTGCAAGTATGACGTCGAGTAGAGATCCCAATAAAGATGCTTGACAACTTAGCTGAGGACCCAATATTTCTTGAAAGCGATAATAAATATTTTTATTAAAATACTTGAAAATTTTGTATTTTTTGTCAGTCCGGGTTAAATTTGATCATCTGGTAAATGACAAGGAGCTTATTTGGAGAATATATTGTTTTATTAGAATACATTAAAGACGCAGTGAATACAGTAAGAGAATGGAGAAGAGTTTTATTTGAGTTTAAGTGAATAAAAATAATAAAGTGGTTGCTGTAATCTAATATTTATAAATGCTGTCTTTAAAATTTTGATCTGTACTAAAATCGGCAAGTCATTCTGAATGAGATTTTGGATTTTGACTTGATTTAAATATTTTTTATCATTTCTTCAGTTACATTGTTAAGAATATTTTCGGGATGGTCTGTTCGATGTAGTTTAGCCATGTTAGTACTTCGTTTATACTTAGTGGGTATGAACATTTATAAAATCTCTTCGACTGTTTGTTATTTAAATGGATTTGTATACATCATGCTATATTAACAGACATTGAACCACTTTATTTTACAATTAATCGCTAATTATCTATATACATATGTGAATATTTATCTAAGAATTGTCCGACATTAAGTGCTTTAACAACGGAAAATGTTCACAGAGTCTTTGAGCGATTTACCCGCATCAACATCACAACACAATTACATATTACGATTAATAAATGGCACAGACTAATTTAGTAGATATAGAATTACATGAGCGCGCGAGTATATCGTATGACAACAAAAATATTTCAGAGATTCAGTAAATCAATGAAATTTCGCGCAAACTCCACAGACGACACAATGAATCATTATTGCATCATTTGTGTGGAAACAAAGCCGCGGCGGTGTTAAGGTCTTTGTCCTCCACCAAAAATCCTTTCTTCTTTTCGCTGCATTGGTTTTTGTGTTTCATTGTTGTTGTCTTTTATTTAATTCATTTGAACTTGCAATCATGCGCGTTCTCTGCATTTGCTCTTTACTAATCTGGTCTACTCTTTCGTTGTTTCAATCTCGTTTAGTATGGACTTGCATGCGGTTGCTATAACATTATTGGTTCTAATCACAATCAACACCAAGATGATGATGCCATTCGGTTATGTTGGCGTCGTACAGGACGAACGCAAGTGTCAGTATTTAAGGCCGTCGCGCATGCTCAAAATCCGTTGCTTCGAAATGAATCTGAGGGAGGTGCCGCAGTATCTGAAATCATCGGTTGAGGTGAGTAAAGTGATAAAAAATGAAAAATTAAATAAAAAACATTACTTAAGTAATTCATAATGATTAGGTATTGGTTGATTCGAAATCAATTAACCTCAAGTGCGACCGTTAGCCTTGCAGCATTTAACATATAATAAGTTTAACTTTAAATGTCAACATTTTACTTTTGTTCAAATGCAAATTCTGCTGTGCTGATTCGCCGGCGTGCATCTGCAAGGGTTAATTTGTGTCAAGTAGCTTGATAAGGTTCGCATAAAGTGCTCATTCGTCACCGTTTATCCGATTTATTATAACTGTGTGTGTGTGTTATTTTTTCTTCCATGTGAACTTGCTCCCATCAGTGCAACAAGTGTTTATATGTATGCGAGCGGTGACTGTCTGCTGCGAAATAAAATTCAATTGACTTTAATTGAACGCACAAAAGAAGTCGCGATAATTTCCTAAAAAATATACATATATATGTACAAGTACTGTTATACACCTATATTTTCTTTTTTGCTAAGCTGTGCTTGTACGAGTATAGGTGCGCTTCCTGCAACCGTACCCTGTAGGAAAAATTGCGAATTTCATGCTTGGTAAAAATAATACCGCTACTCGACGTCGTTTTTGCAAAATATTCAGGTATTTTGGTACGAGTCTAGCATTGACACGCTTCATACTCAAAATATTAACCAAAATGGTTGAGTCAATCCAACATCACGATTTTGAAGCATAGTTTCTTTTACCTTACCTATGTAATCGTCATTAACAGAGGTTGATAGACGACTCGCATGAGGTAAGTTTTCGTTGACTTCATGACCTTCACTGAATGCCTTGAGCCACTTAAATACTTGCATTCGTAATAACTTAGACTCCCCAAAACACTTCGGCGACATTTTGAACTATTCGGTAGCCATGATTCCACTAAATTTCAAATAAAATAGTTAAATTTTTACCATCGTAAATATCGCTAGACCAACTTTTCGTGCCGTAAACAAACAACTGCTTAAATTTCAATTCGGTTCGCGCGCCCAGTGTAAACGGACCAGTTCGGATCAAATGTGAACAAATGAAATTGTAGAGGATCCACCATCAATTCCAACTCAAAATTAATATTAAACTTTTTGATGTGTTTCTTAAGCGAGATCATTACTTACAAGTACTTACCGGATGTAGGTTCAAGATTTAGTAACATCTATAAAAGATATTAAATCTTTATATACAGCAATTTATTACAAAATAAATAAAACAAACCTACAAAAGCAGCTTTGAACAAAAAACTTAACATACATATGTTTTAGTTCTGGTAAATTTTAATTTTATTTAATTGATTCTCATATACATACGATTAATTGTTCATCGAAATAGAAGAGATTTCGAATCAAGTAGTGTTCATTTGCAGGACTTTACATTTTTCCATCAGGGTCTCTACATTAAACTCCATATATAGGTACATGCAATACGCACACACACTGAGTAGAGCAGCTACATATTTTTAAGTACCGTCGCTCACGCAAACCGTGCAGGAAGTGTACTTATTTTGTGCGTCTTATCAGTGCTCAGTAACTACCATATAACTAAATTTGCTTTCCCGCCTAATTACAGATTCTGGATCTCGCATTCAATCGCATTAAAAAGCTCAAACACAATTCATTTGAACGTTACACAAGCATTAATATATTAGTGCTCTATGAGAATAAGATACAATCGGTGGAGCCGGGCACATTTGCGCCACTTACATCGTTGGAGGTAAGTGCAGGCATACATACATACTTACAAATATATACATCTGTATAGATGTATATTTACATACAACATCGCATGTGCACTGTAGCATCGCTGTAACTGTTAATTATTGTACATAAGTGATATTAGCATGATTACATTTTGTTCAAGTAATTAGTAAATTTAGTTATAATTTATAGGTATTAATAAAATACATAAGTATATATGAATATTATTTATTTTTAGACTTATAAATATTTATATTTATATACGAGTATATTGTGGCATATGTAAATCTTTAAATTCTACGTTAGAATATAGAAAAAAATATGAAAAATAAAGTATACTTTTTCAAACCGTCTTCAAGTAAAGAGGCAGAATTTTTAAAGTTAAAATCGAACTATTATAAATATGTATTTCAAAACCAATAATAACTTTATACAATATACTTTCTGACATCTATTTGATTTTATTAATTTTTTAATCTACAATATTGGCTATAAATATATTTATTGATAAATTATTTATAAATAATTATATTTATTTATTTTATTTTGTTGAATTTTATAGGAGATCGATCTATCAAATAATGCGCTCGTCTCGATACCTTTGGAAATCTTTCAATTACCCTCGCTGCGAAATCTTTATGTTGACAGCAACGAGCTCTTTAATTTGGACCGCGATCTACAGGTTTGTACATACTCTTTAACATTCTTAATAATATTAACCAAATATTATATATATGTATGTAGGTTCAACAGAAAATTTATATACAATTTAGCCACTGTTTAATAAAATAATATTCTATAATTCGCTTTAGGCTCTTGAAACACCAATACAAGCACCACTGGAATATTTAAATATAGCCGATTGCGGCTTAGAGAACCTGCCCGATTTGGGTGTTTTGCCAAGTGAGTAATTAAAAAATATTAATATATATAAATATATCTATACAAGTATATTTTAGTTGCTCTGGAAAATATCGATATTAAATAAAATTTTAATTTGTTATATATTAGGGTTTACAAAGTTTCAAAATAAAAATTTTTACAAAATATTAATAAAATGAACATGATAATTTACAAGTTCAAATAATTTTAACTAATAGTTTAATTAATATTTCAAATCTTAGTTCTAGTATAACTTTTATGTCGTTATAAAGTATATATATAATTTCAAAATAATTTTCACTTATGATTTAATAAGCCGATTGATGGTGATCAAAAGCGTCACGATAAAACTGCAATCGTATTTAAAACACAATTAAATTTATCGTTGTAAATCGCAGTTAACGATAGTATCAGTTTTGGAGACAGTTATGTTATAAGTTCTAGTTTGTAACTCTAGTTTGTAATAAATTATATAGAAATTATTTTTGATTCAAAATTATCTGCACATACTCCATCTATTTCTTTTTTGAATAAGTCATCATCTCATACGCATTGCAGTCATTGTTTAAAACCACTTTTGATCAATCTATCAAATGTACCCGTGTACTTATCAAGCAATTTTTTACATCTTTATCTTCAGAACTGTGGCAAATTAATGCATCATCCAATCCGCTGACTGATCTCACCGTGGAAACACTAGCCAATATGTGTAATTTGCGCACAATGGATCTGACAAAAACGGAAATTAGTGAATGCGCTCTTCAACAAGTGAATCGATACTTGCGATATATTGGCGCCAGTTCTAAATATGTCCCGATATCTTTGGGTAAGTTAAAAGATTCCTAAATACTAAGCAATAAATATTATGAGTTGTTCACCGGAAAAAAATATGATAATCCTAAAAAGAAAAACAAACGCTAAGTTTGTTGAGCTTTGCACTGAACTTCTACACCTGGTAATTTGTCCTATCTTACACTTCCGGTAATTTTTCTAGTTACTATATAGTAAATTATTGCGTTTCCGAAGTAGTTACATTCATATCTCCTGCGTTTCCTTAAAAGAATATTAACTGATAATTGCTAAATAAGAGACCATGAATCATAAGAGCTTCGACTCTATGTCATATCAGATATTATTTTATTTTAGTTAGCTCCATTAGGTTCCGAACATAACGGAAAAATTTATCGATTTGCGTAATGGTGACCAAGAAATTATACGAAACTTTAATGTTTCATGTTCTTTGTGTTTGCTGCATATGCTTTGTTCCTGGAATCCTATTGCTAATAAGGCTCTAAATAATAAAGATGTTTTTGTTTCGTTGTTGATATATATATACGAGTACTCATGCGCTTACACCAACGATTTATTATGACCGCAAGTACAGTGAAGTCCAAAACTAGAGTTGTGTATAATGTACTACCCCATTTGGAAAGCACATAAAGTCATAAAGCTTGTCAACATAAAACACACATATATTAGGGGGCACACCTGGTGTAACGGCTTAAAAAAAGCGACTTTTAGAATTAAAAAATAAGCAAATATATCAATTACTTTTTAATTTGAGGGCATATTTAAGCATATTTAAAAAATGTACAGTAAATTTTTTTAAGAAAAAAATTAAATAATTTTCAAATTACACTTTGTGGCAATTTTAATATACCCTGTTAAGGGTATAATTTGCAACTGATAAAGTGGGGCGTCTCAAAAAATTGGCACATGACCATATCCACGATTTAAACCATCCTAACAATGTGAAAGCAAAAAACACAATTATTAATTTAGAAAAATGTCGCAATGTCTGGCTGGAACTATGGAAAAGTCAGAAACATTTTTTCACGAAATGGCGACTGCCTGAAAATAAACCACCATCTGATTGTTTTGATTTGAAAAAATTAGTAAAAACCCTAAATGTGGGAATATCTATAATTCCAAACATAGACCAGAACATAAAGAAGACTATCTAAAAATTTCAGCTAAATCGGTTCAGTAGAACCTGAGAAATCGTGGGTATCGTTTTGAAAAAGACAGTTTCGAGAAAAACGCGTTAAAAGTTGCAGTTCTCCGAAAATAATTTGAATTTTGAAAAATCCTCTTGTAGACATATTCTTGAATAGTTAGACATTGAGAATATAAACAAAATAATTTTTTTTTATTTCTAGACTAGATATCCCCTTAATAATAATAATAAACAAATATATGAAATAAGGTACAGTACAGAATAGCGCGAATTACTTACGCATACAACAAATTGTAATAGATTTGATTGTGTTACTGATCGTACAGATCTTGGCAACTCTATAGGTCTGCATACTTTTAGGCGGAGTAATTTTCAAACGAAATAAAGCGCACACATACAACCATTCAACAATATGCACTCACACAAGGAAGTGTAAGCACACATATGCATTTATACTTACCGCCCCATACATATGTAATGGCAATTTAGTCAAATCAATTTTGTTGAAAGTAATCAGTAATGCAATATAATTACTTTTAATTTTATTATCGATAAAATAAAATTACAAATTTTTTAAAAACTTTTTTAACGTAATTAGTAAATTTTTCATGTATTTTGGCTCTCTTTATTAACCGAAACCCATCAGTTAATTGCTCAAATTTTACAACATTTATTTATAGACGACCTCGATAACAGCATATGTCCGGATCCATATAACCAAACTGTGAACTCAACGACATATCACAGCTGTAAGGCAGAGGCTGAACTTGCCAAAGTGCTCAGCTGGCGTTGGTGGGCGATCGCAGCGGCAGCGGCATTAGCTGTGCTCGGTAAGCGAATCTAAAAGCAATGAAAAACTATTAAACAATTAAATTAATTGAATTTTCCCTCCGTTTTATTTACAGTCTTTACATGGTTCTGCTGTCGCCGCAATTCGAAAAAGAAGAAGAAGAAGGCTAAAACTAAAGCAAATGCGCTGCCGCCCAAACAACAGCCGTTAGTGTCGCCCACGCTAGCGCTGAAAAGTCAAAGCGATCGCACGAAGCTGCAGGACTGTGATTGTGCGTAATTGCTTAATTACAACAATAACATAGCGAATAATTTTAGATGTAAAAACTCTATAAATAGCAATTAATTTACAACTACAGCAACAACCATAACAACCACTGAAAATGTAACTACTTAACGGCTGCGTCGCTTTGAGCGGGTAGCATATAGTTTATTCTTTCTTTTCTTTTACCTTCGAATACATTTAGTTGTTAAATAAATTCGCCATACAGCAAAGTGGTGCCAAAGCGTACTAAATACGAACTTAGATATCGAATTGCAACGAACTGAAGGCGAAATCGTTTTGCCAACACTACAAGTGCCTACATTTGAGAATAAGTATATATATAATATGTACATACATGCCTAGTTATGTAATTTTGTTGTTATTTTTACGAACATCTTACATTTAGTGTAAACATAAAAGTATTAAAAGTTATAGCCTTAGCTTCGCTTAGTGTAAAATTTCTTTCTTTATGCAATAATATTATATGAAATCATTTCGTTTAGTGAATTTGCCAATATTTGTACATACGGTACATTAATATGTAATTAAATGATAGTTTAGAAAATTACACATACATTTGTAAATATATAAAGTATAACTGTACAAATAGCAAAAGAAAAAAACCCAAAAATTTAAAAATAACTACCGCTTCCTTCAACTGGAACCAAAATATGCCAATCGAAAAGGTGCCTTTAATTGCATTACTGCATTTACATACATATATAGTTACATAATAAAAAAATAGTTTTACAGAAATTATTTACTTTTTGAAAAATAAGTTTATTTTTTTTTTTTCTGGTTAATATTTAAGTCTGTGCAAAATATATTTATTTACTGAAATGTTACAATAATTTAAAAGTTAAATGATTATGATTTATGTTAAGTGCAAAATGTAATATATAGATAATAATAAACTTATCATATTGTTTTTGTAATAAATGTGAAATGCGTTCGAAAAAAATTCTTTTGCTTTTGCAGAAACCTTTGATTATAGTAAAAAGTGAAAGATATTCACAACAGGTTGAAATCCTGTGGAAACGACAGATAAATTAACAGAAACGAAAGGAAAAATAATTTACGAGCGATCTGTGGTCGGAAAGAGGAAGTGGTGGCGTGTGGTTGAATTTTTAAGGGTTAAAAATGGTTTATCTTGATTTTAGGCAAAACTATGAGTTATTTAGAAAAAATGTATATGAATTTATTGAAGTTCACCCTAAAGTTATCGGGTAGATTTTCGTGGTTTCAAAATTCTATCACTGTGCTGACAAAATTTATGATATACTATTATAGAAAGTCTCTCATGTGAATAACCGAGTGAATTTCTGTAACAAAAAAGTGTCTTATAAAATTTGCTTGAAGGATCTGTCATTGTTTGGATATTATCAAAGCACCCATCACAAAGAGGAAGAAATATGCAATCAAATACACAGAGAATAATTAAATATATTAGTTGAGGTTTTTAGAAATAAGTAAAAATAGAAACTGGATAACCAAGAGGCTGGTCTCTTCTTATTGAGGTTCAGCTCCACTAAAGTTTCATTAATATAATGCTACTTTAAGTTTAGGTTCAAGTAAACTTTTGTCATTTGAGCAAATATTTATAGCAATAGCGATCCGAACTTCCTTCAAAAAAAGATTTACCAGTGAAGTTGGCATTCTATAAAAATATCATCGAAAAGTTTATTTAGTGAAAATTTAAAGAGAAATGATTCGGGAAGACATTGCATTTTTTATTTATTGCTGCTTCTCCACACTAAATATAAATTAATTAGTTACTATCGAACATTACTTTCGTGAGATCCGAAAAAGTGATAAATCTGATGACTCTCTTGGAAATATTCATATGTATAAAAAATTAGTAGAAAATTCAAATATTTGTTGTTACGATAGATTACATGGCGTTACGATAATAGACAAATTGCATCGTGCTGTGCAGATATATACTATGTACTAAATTCAGGTTCTGGAATAGGAGCAACAGGGCGCATGATTAACTTTTAATGGGAATCACATGCATAATCAAACACGCTGCAGGCGAAATGTCACTAGTTATATAAAATAAGCTAAATTAAAAATAATACAGAAAAACGTTAAAACATTAACTTCGGTTGCACCGAAGCTATAATACCCCTCACAAATACAAAAGATTCCATATAAAAGCATGATTTTGATCCGTCAGTTTGTATGGCAGCTATATGCTATAGTAGCCCGATCAGAACAATTTCTTCCAAGATTGCATCATTGCTTAAGATAATAAACCGTAACAAATCTCGGGAAGAAATCTCGTCTAATGAAAAAGTTTTCCATACAAGCACTTGATTCCGATCGTACAGATTGTATGATAGCTATAAGCTGTGGTGATCCGATAACGGCGATTCCGACAAACGAGCTGCTTCTTGGGGCGAAAAGAACGTGTGCAAACTTCAGATCGATTGCTAAAAAATGTAAGTTATTGTATATATATAGATAGATGAAAAAGACAGACGGCCATGGCTAGATCGATCAACTCGTCACGTTGATCAGTTATATATATGGTTATATGGTTTATAGGGTCTCCGACGTATCCTTTTAGGTATTATAAACTTCGTGGCAAGCTCAAGCCCTGTTCAGGGTATAACAAATTTATGCTTGACATCTAACACTGATTTCTGCGTACGGTTCATTGCTCTTTAGTCCCATTAACTTATCCCGACTGTTCCTTCCAATTATATGCACATAAACCAGATTTATGTAAAGCCCTGCTCACATACACGCATACATATATACTCGTATACAATGTATATTATACATACTTAGAAATTAACAAAAATGTGTCACTGACATGCAAAGCATGCATTTTCCATAGTAAATAACTACAACGTACATTTGCAATTAAAGTGAATAACATGCAATAGATACCAACAGGATATAGCAGGATAACACAGGACTTTCGCGAATAACTGCATTCAGTTGAACTTTATATTTCGCTGCAGGCGAACGCAAATCACGCTTAACAAACGGAATTTAAATTAAGTTTGAAAACATTTAAATAATTTTTCTTAAAAATGAAATTAATAGGTAAACAAATTTATTGGTGCATGTTGCCCACTTTCCTCCTTTGGATCTCCTATCAACTGGCGCTTACTCAGGCACACCTGCGCAGCGTTCGCATCGAAGAGATACCATTTAGCCTGGCAGAAAGCGTCGATGAAGCTCGTCAAAAGGAAAGTCGCTTATTTGGACCGAGCTTAGAGACCGAAGAGCGAGGCATACTAGCGAAAGCTGGTCTAGAACAGCGGCGCGGCTTCTTTCATCTCTTCAACATACCGTGTAGGTTGCTTTAAAGGCTACGTAAAAGTATAAATTATTGCTAATAAGGTATCACCACAGATATAGTTTGCTTCTTTGCCGCCAAAGGCAAATGGCCATTTATACCGACCTTCATGCAAGGACGCGTCGATGCGACGGCCAGGACATTTTTCAAACAAAACGATAGCGCCATAAAGCAGTTCTGCCAAAAGTGGATACAAATTAAGCAGTGCTTCCGGCCACTTTTCGGTAAATATTAAATATTTTGTTTAAAAAGTGTATTTAGGCACTAATTAGTTCTTTTTTCAAAACTCAAAATTATTTATAATAATACTTAATTTAACTTAGTATACAAAACTAAAACCTTATTTGGTTTTTGTCCACAAAATTAAATTTCATCCATAGCAACGACCAGCACCAGCGATGTTGAGCAGCTTAATCCACTGCGCTCTACGCCTTGCACTTGCGCTAATTCGAACGAACCGATAGTTTACTTCGATCGAGATCATATTGGCAATGTAAGCCGTGACACGATCCTGAATACTATAGAGTTTCTAGAAAGTTTTCTGGTTCCACCAGTGTCGCCCACGAAGAAGTCGAAGAAGAAAAATCGCGTACGCAGTCGTGTGGATGAAATTGATATTGAATGAGAGACTTATTTGAGATTTTATTAATACCACAACTGTCCGATGAAATTGATAGCATATAACATACTTATATTAGGTTTTTATTTTGTATGAATTTCTTGCTATATTTCAATTAATTTGCATAACATAGAATTCAAGAAAATGTATTTAAAACTTTGATTTGGTGGTTTCGTATATACCAAGACGTCGATTTTCGAATTTGGTTGTAAGATAAAAAAACTACAGTGAAATAAATGTTCGTTTCCTAAAATGTAGCACACGCTTAATTCAAAAAGCTCCCTGTAAGTCGTTGTCGGGGTACATGGTTGCTATTATTCGCTTTTCAAGGGAGGGTGAAACCATGGGCGTATTCTGTTTGGCAGCATATTCAACAGAATTTATTGGTAAAATTATATTGGATAATTAACATTGTCAAAAATAGGAGATTTATTAAAACTAATTTAAGTGATAAAAAATAAGAAAAAATTACCAATAAAAAATTAAAATCGAGAAATATCTTATCTTTCAAATATACATACAAAACTTTTAAGAGAGAGTAATAGAGTGATCAAGCGAAGATAAAGAGAAGATGTAAGATTGTAATAATCTTTATCAGTCCTAATAGATAAGTATATACATATACGTATGCGACTACTAAAGAGCATAGAGGTTCTTTGGCGATTAAATCTAGGTATGATTTAAGAGGATCTATTGGCGGTGTGTACTTTAAGAATACAACAACAGAGGTTAGAAAATGTATACAACTCTATGAAAAAACAAAATTCTTCAGTTTTAAACTATTTCGTTCAGTGAATGCTTCTATCGATAGTAATGTAGTAGAACTGGAGCACTTACGAGTTTTACACTCCGAATGTAATTCTCCCATAATATACAAGTATAACACATCAGCCGTTAGAAGAGAAAAGAAGAGAGACCAATATGAAAAGATCAAATTTGACCCTGTCAGATAAAAAAGATATATTTTTACGTATTTTAATACAAATATTTATTATCGCCTTCAAAATAGGCTTCTTTCGAGTCAATACAAGCATGCCAACGCTTAGCTTGGCAGCTTTATTTAAACAATTTTTTATGAGATACACTTATGGCAATAAAAAATATCAGTAGTTAGAGTAGAGTACTGGGTTTACATATTATAATATGTAAATAAACAAAGGAAAAACTAATAATACAATAGAACGGTATATATCAGTGCATGTAATTTGTATATAAATATGTATTATCTTATGATATATGCAGTATAACTAAATTAGAAAATGCATATTTTTCTACAAAAGTTCACTATGACATTAAAAACTATATAAATATATTATATATAAATGTTCAATAAAAAATCTAAATGCTAATACTGAAATCTCAACGTGCGTGAGTTGTGTACTCACTTTTTTAAGATACTACATGTGAAAACTATACAAATAATTGCTCTAATGAGCCTCAGGCAAATTTCAACTAATCCTCTATTTCCAGAATCGCATTCCATAGTTTTGCACGCTTCACGTTAAACTTGTTGTTTGTGAAAGTTCTGAAAGAATCATTGCCAGAGTTCGAAAATTCTTGATAATCACAAATTGCATCCGATTTCTGGTCAAATGTAGTGGCCGTGCAAGGTTTTAAGGCGTCTGCGCTCAACGGTTTGCTGGAAGAAAAAGGTGGGGCGTGTAATAATTGATGGGTACATATATCCAAAAACAATATTATAATCTCAGAAAAATATGTTTTTAAAGAAGTCAATCCTATATAACCGATTCCCCGAAAGATAACTGTTACCATAATTTTCATGAAATCAAATTTTTTATGGGTGACTTTATGAAAACGCAGTGAAACCATTTTACTTTTGAGCTTACTCATCTCTTCAAGTAACAATAGCATGGACCATTGATTTTATATGCGACGCCAAAATCAAGATCTGCCTGCGTTACTTGAAAATACCTTGATTATATTCAACGTACAACTCACCCATATTTGACAAAATGAACAAGATTCCGAGAAAAATGCGCGGCTAGAGCCGCATCTGCCGAGTCCTCCTTGAAGTCGGCAAATATCACTGGCGCACGGAATGTATAAATTAGATCATCACAATGTACCGCATCGAATTCACCGATTGGCACGCCACCCGTGTAAATGCTCGTAAAGCTATGATCACCTTTGTAACTGAGTTTATACAAATAGACTGGATACTTTTTCACATCGACTGTATGCACATAAGCGCGGATGGCATTGTAGTAGGGATGATGAAAGCCGCGATCGCTGATGCACTGTAACAAACACACAAATAAATTCTTCAGATCACTTCAAAATCATAGAATATCTCAAATACTCACGTCAAGAAAACCCTGCGCGGTCGCATTATCGATTACCGATCGTCCACCAAAGTACTCATTTATGACCAACTGCGTCTTTAATGTTAACTGCGCACGCGTAAACTGTGCTGGAAATTCGAGCAACTTTTCGAACAGCTCATGAAAGTTCGCATTGAATTGTTGTCTTAGCGTTTCATTGGCTAAGATTGAGAACACACGAACTGCCCCCTCACCCGGTACCCCACCGTTCAGCCATGGCACAGGCGTATATTTACCCTCATTCATTATTTTCACCGGGTGTTGTGTAAGAAATGCATGCTTGTCGCTATGCTTCTCTACGATTGGACGGAAATTCGTCATGGGATCCACATTCCAATATTTGAGTTTATCTCCCGCATTAAGTATGTCCTTGGCGTCCAACGCACGTAAAGCGCGCGTGAGTTTAACAGTGCTCAGTTCTTTCACATTACTGATATTACAAAATCTAGCGATGTCACGGGTCTGTTGCAGCGGTGCATCATTAATAGCAAATGGTACATTCGCGGTACCGCTCATTGTGATTGCGCTACGAAATAGACCTAAAAGTTGAAACAAAAACGATTTTTCTTATATTATAATGATCATAATCTCGTAGGCAGCCTTCGAGCATACTTACCTTCGGATTGACGACTCAACATGTGTAGGTGCACGGAAATGGCACCAGCGCTTTGTCCAAATATGGTTACTTTCTCTGGATCGCCACCAAAAGCACCGATATTGCGTTTAATCCAACGAAGTGCCAAATTTTGATCTTTAAGACCCAAATTGCCGGGCATATTAGCATCGTCCGTAGAGAGAAAGCCTAGAGTAAGAAAAGTCAATATTAGAAAGGAAAGTTCTACTGTTACTAATAAGTAAAAGAGCTCCATACTCACCAAACGGTCCTAATCTATAAGCGATCGAGACTAAGATAACCTCTTTGGTTTCCATAATATATTCAGGACCATGTAATAGTGGACTGGCAGTGCCACTAAACCAACCGCCACCATGCATATAAACCATAACCGGCAGCAGCTGTTTGGAGTCTGGCTAGCGGGAAGACATTTCATTTTATAGAATAACTTCTAATTCAAATTAAATTCCTTAAGCCAAAAGTGGTGCAATACAAGGTTGCACTGACTGAAAATAAAATTCCTATTGATCGTGACTTCGAGTCCGACCAAATCATCAAAATCTAATTTTTCGAAATTTTTCTCTAACCCCCGATCGTATTTTTGAAACACTTCGTCGACAATGTTTCTAAATTATGTGAGACCCTGTCATGAAATATCAGCGCAACCTGTAAAGTCCCTCTTCTCGGGTGCACTCACTTACTATTGGTCTGTAGATATTCAAGTAAAGGCAATCTTCGACGCCTTCCACTACCGGATTCGGTAGTATGTAATTCTTTTGCACACAATTCTGCTTCGGCGCGGTCGCGTCCAAAATACCCCACCAGCGTGGAAATGCTTTGGGTATCTACAAAAGTCAAGCAACGACATTAAAATAATCATCTCTTTATCTCGCATTAATTCAACGCACCGCAAAGCGCCGCTCAGCCACTGGCGGTAAAGCGTACGGTATTCCCAGAAATGCTTCGAAATTGTGCGCACCTAAACCAGGCATATGTTTGCCCTGCATACAACCCATTTCGTAAAGGCAAACTTTCGGCAAAGCCGAATTCTGGTTAAACAACGGTGCTTCGGTGGGTGGTGTGTGCGCCATTACTGTCGTTGTTGTTTGACTACATATTATAGTTGTCAATATGGAGATCATGAAAATTGTCTGCCATAAATTCGTTGATTGAAGTATGGTTGGTAGCAGGGTGGCATTCGGTAGTAGTGACACCTCTGCTGCTGCCAACGAAGCAGTCATGATGTTCTGTTTATTTTTTAATGTGATTTTTTTTGGTTTTTGTTTTTGAAACGTCTGAGCATCAGCAGCACTTTACTTCGGCCAGGCGTTATTGTCGCCGAGATCGCGTCTACAAGTTCGTCTTGACCGAACGGATTATACCATATTTATATGTATGTACTCTTTGTTCCTTCTTTTTGTCTCACTTTCGCCAAGCTGCAAAAAAATCATACAATAAATAAAGTTCAGCCAGGCTAAATTCTTTTCTATTACATGGTTTCAAAGTGGTTAACTCATCTGCCCACCAAATTTTTATAGACAAATCTCTTACTAATCAAAATTGTATTTTATAAAAAAGTCACTCAAGACTCTTTTATTGTTTAGCTAAAGTAATTTTTTTTTCTTTTTGCATCCTACAAGTACATTTTTCTTCGCATATTATTTGCTTACCCAGAGCTATTTTAATATTTAGATCTAAAAATAGTTGATTGTTTTCAACGTCAGAAAAAGTATGTTTCAAAATCCTCCCATATTTTTGAAAAATTAGCAAATACACTTTTGTGCCGGTTTCAAAATTAAAAAACATATTCAAGCTTTTTACGAAATCCATTAAATAACCAGGATAAAAAGACGAATTGAATTCCAGTTGACTGTCTGTCCGTGCAAAGGATAACTTGAATAAAAATAGAGATATCATTCTGGAACTTGATACACATGTGACTGAGGGAGATAGACGGAATCGGACCATTGCCACGCCCACACAATGCCATTAATTTAAAACCTATAAAGTGCTATGACTTAACTCCAAATAAAGTTATAATTTGATACAGGTAAGCGCAGCAGTGAGCGACACCTGTGGGCTGAAAATGTTTCAAAATTGTGCCTTGCCCCGCCTGCTAATAGGCATTAGGCAAAAACCTCGTAAGCCATTCTTTTGAAGCCTTCTTAGACATTGTGAAAATGGTTGAAATTGAATAATACAACTATCCGCATGTAACGATTATGTTGAAAACTACTAAGTACGCCATAACTCGCTAAATAAATACATCAGAAGCATTATATTTAACAAGTAAGATGGTGCTTAAAGGTTTCAAAGAAATCGGTGTACAAATTTAACAAAGGACATGGCACCGCCCACCTTTAGATGAAATCCTATACCTCAGCAAGTAGTAGACTTATTATTTAGGCATTCTTATGTTACATTGTGAAAAGGGGATCACAATCACGTTTACTTCTCATATATTGCAATTTTTAATCCCCTCTGAATCGCTCACTTTACAGTTAATACTTAAATCGGGAGCAAATGACGTTGCACAAATAATAACTTCAAGGCATACCATTTTACGTCTAAATATTGTCGAGATCGGATCATCGCTTTTCCAGCTTCCGCATGTCAAATATGTGAACCCCAGTGTCTATGGCTGACCTTCTACCGAAAATACCGCTCAATCTGTGAAATATAACAATGAAATTAAGAGAACGCCCTACGCAACAACACCTGAAGCAATTTCCCGGGCTTTGATCCTAACAAATTGTGAGAGTATTATATGTTCGGTTACACCCGTTACACCCACTTAGTTGTTATTATTAGCAACTCGGTATACCCGGAAATTTCCGTCATTGATTAGTGCGCACTCGAAACAATTTATGGACAGGTGTTTGTGAAAAATAACTAATTATGGAACTCATTCATAAATATAAATATGAATGAATGAAATATGCTTAACACATGGATTGGTTTGTTGCAAACAATCAATTATTTGTTTGCACAACTTTCGCTATAGTTCATTGAGCTTACATCTCAGCTTTATTTTTGACTGGGTATCTATATACATATATATTATATTAATGAATGTTTGCCTGTATGTCCTTTATAGAATCGTATGCTATGCATTGGATCATTTTGTTGTGTATGAACCAAAGAAGGTATCTGTATGATCAATTTTCGATAGATAAACAAACTCAATAAAAATATTCAAAATCAATTGAATTTTTGTGTAATGTCTTTCCTTCAAATTATTTTAGTTGAGGGCGTAGCTACAGCTAGTTACTCAATATATCAAAGCGCCTACTCTGCAAGAATGAAATATACAAACTAGCTTGAAAATGCCTGCTGGTCTCTCCGCCTTTAAAGAAAACTTCTTTTATATTGACCAAAATTGGTCGTGAATCTAGGTTTTTCGTAGTGTAAGTGCTCACTTCTAATCATTATAGTAGGATTACTACTTAACTCGATATAACTTATATAGCTTTCATATTAATAATTTCAATAATAAAATAATTTGCTAACGAAAGTAGTTGCTTCAAATTCAGCTTAACTCAAGGACTGCCAACGCTTCAACAAATAGTCGGTTTCTATTAAAAGAAGTTCGACTTATATAGTATCCCATATCCTTCACAATAACACTTTGGGATTACACATGGCACTTCAGTTTTTTGAGTATGCTAGCTTCAAATATTAAGTCACGTAATCAAACCTAACATATAGTGCTTCTACTTTCTTTTATGTTTACTTAGTAATCAATCTAACCTCTGCAAAGGTTAAGTTAGCTTAGTCAGTAACTTTTCCTCTAAGAAATGTAATATGGAGCCACGCAAGAGGCTTCATTAGTAGAAGTAGAATCGAAAGAAAACAATTCTCTTCCCTACCCCTTGTGAGGCCGTCTTAGTGTTTTCCGGCAATCTGAAAAACTTCACTAGTTGAATGCATTTCATAATAAGTTTTTTCATATGAGAAATATACTCGAGAGTCGGTATTGAATGCTGAGTTACTTCCTACGTCTGGTATTAATGATCCTTCCATAATTACTTTTTAAACTAATTTTTGGCTCCTTGAAGTTATTTTTCACATCATTCAAACTAGTTAAGCTATAGCCCAGGTACTATAAAGTATATACTTGTAAGTTGAATATTGTTGCACTATTTCATAGTTTGAAGAAATTATCAGTAAAAGTATACAGAGCACAGTTTGCACTTCTTTTAGTTCAATTTGCAGATCAATATATTGTTATCCTTCATACCGATTCAACTCCAATTCTACCGAATATGTTTATACTTGTAGCTCTTATAAGGCAACCGTCTACTCTGGCTAGCCAAACACTTCTGATTTAAAAACTCGCTGATTTTGCTGAGTATTTAATAGGCGCCAACAGTAGAAGCAAAACAATAGACCAACAACACCGGCGACAACAATGAATAGCCCCTTTAGCTATTGGCCGAATACTTAATATGTGTGTGAGTATATGTATATGTAAGTTCAAATGTGTGACTTGTGTGTATGTATGAAATGTTGACGAGGGGTCGTTTTCTAAGATTTATTACTACTTTTAGTATAATCGTAAGCGCTCTACGGACCCGCATACTATAGCGTTAATGTAATTTGTATTTATATTACAAAGAAATTACTATTTATAACAATCAGGTGATAATATTACAATTTAAAAGGAATTAGTTTGATTTATGAGTAAATATAATTATTATTTTTTCCTACTCTCATTAGGTGCTAAGCTTTGGAATAGGCCTCTCTCTAACTCATAGTCATACATCATTCACACCCGCTTGCACGAAAAGCTGCACTTTCTTTGAACAGTAGTCACTTTCGGCTCGTTTGCTCATAAATAGTGGTCTTTACTTATTCGTAAAGATTAGACTGCTAAGAATAAAAGTTCATTCGATTCTACATAAGGAAGGAGAAGATATATATTACATTTTTTTAAAAAGACTACGCACTTGGAATAAGATTTTCTTTACATTGTATCAAAACCACTAAGGAAGGTAATTTACGTGGGTCTAGCTATGCCCACATATCTGTTTCTTTTTAGCCTCTAATTGTTCAAATATGAGATTTTGGCCCATATCTTTTCAAATCACAAAGATTAAGCTGTCATACAACTAATAGTTAAGTTCAATAATTTTATAATAAAATATAGCCATATTTATATTATCTTGCAAATATCGATAGTATAACAATATATAAAGCGGTTGTTTCCGTTTAGACAATATAAACAACAAAATTTTTAGATAAAATTGATCGGCAGTTTTATGAATTAAACTCACTGTGCGACAGAATCGATCAAGTTTCACTTGCAATGCCGACTGGGAAACACGTGTAAACAAATTGCGGCATGCGCTTAGTATTAAATAATTCAATTTTACGGATTATTAATTATTTTTATTACGGCAATTTATTGCGGAAATGCACATAACGAGGAATTACTAATGTAAAAAGTAATGATATGTTATAATAATGTACTCGGATGTCGGCGCGTGCATTACTTTACAAATGTTGAAGCGAAATTCAACGCGAAGTTGAGTTGCAAGTCGTTTAGTACGAAAAAGTATCGATCTTGAAATAAATTTCATTACTTGTACAGTTAGCACCCCAGTTTGGGCAGTATTGTTAAATTAAACAGGAAAAAGCATTAACTTCGGCTGCACCGAAGCTATAATAGGCTTTAGGGTGCATTTCGTAAAGGGTATAAATTAAATACCTATAATTATATATCGGATTATTAAATACATTTCATGTAAATAATTAAATTTATTTTGATGATTTTCATACATTTATTGTGATTATTGCAAACATTTACTCTTAAGTATATATGTATTTATATGAAAAGACATATTTATTTGAACTTATTATTATAATTATGTTAATTTATATTTATTAAATAATTTTTTTATGTTCATAAAACTATTTTCATTTAATTTTGGAGATCTTCAACTTAAGGTTCACACACTAAACGAATGAAAAAAGTGTTGGTTATTTTCGGGAAAGTATTAACGGGCAGAACACCGGAACACCGAATGTTTGAGAAAATATTAGCAAGCGATAGCTCTTAATTATACTTATTTATAGGTTATGAAATACCACTTGCAATCTTTCCATCATACATGTTATGTTATTTTCCTGAAGAATACTAAAAGTCTACAATATTCGCCGAAACTTTAACTCCATAGTTTCCGAGAACAATAACTGAATATAGTGCTAAAAGTCAAATCAGCTGAAAATAGTAGTAAGACATTGCACTCTAGATTAGCGCGAGAAATTAAAGCGTATTTTTGTTGAGAGTTTTCGTGATATTTTGTATA